TATTCATTCCAAATTCAACTTCTTGCTTATTCCTTGTGCTGTGAATACCTGCTACTGTCCTAGTGATTGAAATTTCTCATTTTTTTCCTTTGTAAGAATGAAATAGGTAAAATACACATTTATTTTTCTCAGTTTCATTGAATAATGAAGTTTTAATTACTTCGGTGATATGAATTATGCAATGATATGCAGAAAGTTTTGCATATGTAATTCAGCTGTTCCCATAATTTTTGTTGTATATCTGCATAATGAATAAAGAATTGATCCTGTCTTAAAACCAGTGTTCATAGATTTTTTAATTTCAGGCCACTATAAACATGTTGCGTATCTGTGAACCTTATGTGACTTGGGGCTATCCTAACTTGAAGAGTGTAAGGGAGCTTGTCTACAAACGAGGATTTGCAAAATTCCGTGGTCAGCGTATCCCTATTACATCTAATGCCATCATTGAGAAGAAGTTGTGTATGTATGATTTTATATTCTATCTTTTATTTAAAGGTCAAAATTAAGTAATCTCAAAGTACTTGAAATCACATTTATCAGGCCTTGACAAGTTTGCAGCAGCCTAGGAACCAGATTTGAGTTTTAAGCAGTGGGTGGTTATTAAATTACTATTGTATTCTTTTTTATGTCAAAATTGTAAAATGTATTGCTAAAAAGAAGCTGCCACATTATTTCTACGGGACTTGCCAACCATCAGTTTGTTGAGCCCTGACATTTACATGTACAGTGGAGTCTGGTTAATTCGGACACATCGGGACTAGACCACTTTGGCCCAATTAAGCGGCTGCTCCAATTGTGTGCAGTTCCACATAAAGAGTTAAAAAGTTTTGTTCTTTAAGATTTGTCCCAAACAGCTGCCCCGATTAGCTGATGGCCCAATTAACCAGAGTCGACTGTATAGAACAGTGGAATCCTCATGTAATATCTTTCGATTTAAGGGTTTCTTTTATTTATTTTTTAATTTCTGCAAACCCATATCAATTATCAGTGTTCACCTTCTTTGTGTTTCTCAGTTAGTGTTTAAATCCATTTTACCTCTGAGAAACAATCATTAACACCCATTTAATTTTAATTTTGAGGTTCAGTCTAAATTCTAAGTCAGCTTCAGTACCACCTTTTCCCTCCATTTAAGGTATTCTTCAATTTAGTGTTGAGGTCCTTTGGCCCCCTTATAAACATTGTAAGTATCAGAGTTTCAATTTATTTTGTATACTACAGAGTATGAAATTTAACAAAATTCAATTCAAATTATATATAGCAGTAATTATCTGACATAATTGGGCCAAAGGAGAGTTGGATAATCAGAAATGTTAGATAATACGGAAGACTGTCGAGGAACAAGGGTAAATATCAGCTCAGTCCAGTAACTCGGTTTACAATATTAAATTACGAAGAAAATAGATTGTGGTATCAAATGAAAAGTCTCTCAAACAAAAATAATTTTCAATGTAATGTAAATTTGTAAATGAAAGTTTAATTCTCTATGACATTGGTAATTGGATCAAATGGAATATGAGATAACCAAAGGTTGGATAATCGGTATTCCACTGTAATTTCAATCATTCCTTGGAAATTTATCATTTTGGGCCTTAAATGTTTAGGGCATTATGTTAGGTTGCACATGCTTTTATTTGACTTTATATGCATGAAAATGTGTTGAGATTTTTTTTCTGAAATAAAAGAGTGTGATCATTATTTAGTTGTGGTGATACATGTAATTGTGGTAAACCTATATTCCAAATTAAATTAACATTTATTCCAGCAAAGTGCAACATCATCTGCATTGAAGACCTGATCCATGAAATATTCACAGTTGGAGATAAATTCAAATATGCTTCAAATTTCCTTTGGCCATTCAAGGTAATGAAATATTAATATTAAAAAAGTATGTATCGTATTACGTAGTCTGTAATTTTGAGGTGCAGCCACATTGTTTTTTATTTTTTTTAAGGGTCTTTCACAACAGGATTATAAAAATCACTTACTGTATCTGTTATATCATCATGTACCTAAAGCAACAATGCCCTCATTTCTACACCTGTTTTGTTTTTCGTAGTGGTAATCAACAAAATTTTGTTAAGTATTATTTTGGTTTAGTTCAGAGAAGTTCAATAGAGAATGGGGTGGGCATGGCATGTTGTATGCCTGGGAGAGATGAGAAATGTGTATAAAATTTTGGTTGGAAACACTGATGGGAAGAGGATAATATTAAATTGAATCTTACTGATTATGGGACTGTGGACTGGGGTCATTTGGCTTTTTATAGGGACGAATGGTGGGCTTTTGTGAATATAGTAATGAACATTTAGGTTCCCTAAAGGTAGGGCATTTCTTGTCTAGCTGTGTTTTATCAGCTTCTCAAAGATTCTTTCAGTTCCTTGGCAAATTTTCATAGAACTGTTACTTCTGTGTGCACATATTGTTTGATTTTGTTTCATTTCATTCATATGAAGGGTATAATTCAGCCTTGATATACATGCCTTGATTAATTTGCCAAACTTTTATGAAACTTGAAATGTGGTACTTAAATTTTATGAATATTACTATGTAAGTGTTTAAACTATATTAATTTTACATAGATTCTGAACTTTTATGCGTATTTGTTAAATCCTTTAAATAGATGTTGATGGAACATGAAATGTGCACTTCTATTATATGAGACTATGTTCATAGATATACCCCAGGTGAGATAGGATGCATGTGTTAGCTGGTAGTATGTTGTTGTGTGTTCAGACTTATACATTGGTGTGTGTATGTGTGGTTCCCCCCCCCCTCTCTCTCTCTCTATATATATATATATATATATGCATATAGTCTAGGGGGGTTCTAGTTCTTATTGTCATAAGTTCCATTAGCAGTCCCGTTTGGGTACACAGAATATAAACAAACGTTCATAAAATAAATGTAAGTACAAAATTTATTTCTTTTCCAGAAACACAATCAGTCATAAATGCAGCCATTTTGACAAAGCCACAGCAATACTTGCCCAAAAAACCACATCATACCAACTTATAATTAAATACAACTCTCTCTTACAATAAATACAAAACACTTTCTTGCAATAAATACAAACTCTCTTGTACAATAAACAAAAAATTTCTCTAATTTTCAAAAAAGAAATTACCTGGCCTCAGTGTTATCCTTTCCCCAAGAGATAGGGCAGGTACCACCTACTCGCAGTGTGCCCACCTATTCAACCAGCAGTCAATGCTAAAAAAGCACCCTCTATAAACAAGAAGTAGCTACCTCTAAATTTCAGGAAACTGCAGTACAACAGCCACAATACTTCCCCAGCCGGCAGTTCGAGCAAGAGTCACTCTTGTGCTAGCGAGAATCAGGCATGACATTTCAACCCCCCTCCAATTCTGTAACCTCACTTCCTGCACCATCCCAGCAAAAGACAGGTATTGATCTGACATCCTTATTTCAGCCAGCCCCCACCAGTGCTGAGATTGCCCCATAAACCTCTCCACACTAAAGAGTTGGCTCAATATATATATATATATATGCACACCTTTTGTTTGTATGCATTGTTCCAACAAGTCCATGGTGGTAACTTTATCTTATGCTGCCACCTTCCATCTTGTTGAAGATAAAAGTTAATATTTTATATAAGTGCCATAGTTTGTTGTTAGAATGGTGTATATGAATATTACAACACTTGCTATATGGTTTATTTCTTTGTTCAGATTTACTTCTTCATATAACTGCATATGAATAGTTTGGCTTTTCAATTTCCAGCTCAATACACCAACTGGAGGTTGGCGTAAGAAGACAAACCATTATGTAGAAGGAGGAGATTTTGGTAACCGTGAAGATAAAATTAATGAATTGCTTCGGAGAATGGTGTGATTGAAGAGTGTTACCTCACTGTGTATTTTGTTGTTTCTCCTGTACAGTTGGACATTAAAATCTTGAAGGAGAGAATGTGTGTATTACTTTTCTTCTTGCCTGAAAGTTTCCTACCTTAGGGGAAAGTAGTAAGTGATGCATTGGTAGGAGTTTTCACAAACAAAAACTTTGTCTGGGACTGTAGAAAGTAATAGTGATCTTCAGTTTTGTCTTTAAAGAATTTATATTTTGGTGGCTTTTTGAGCTTTAATTCTTCTCATTTCTGGACTATAACCTAGCTTTTTCTTTGTATTTTCATCGCTTTATCCATTACAAAGATGATGCATTTCTTACCCAGAGGTTCCATTGAAAGTTTTAAGCCTTGATAGCCACATTTCCCTCAAATGTCAATGGAAACTGGGACTGTCACTTTGTGAGCTTATTAAGCATGGACCATAGGAACATTGCTTCTGAAAATGCAAGCCTCTTTATGTGATCCAACTTCTGGCCTTTCACAGAATAAGAAGTAACAAAAATGTGCTTAGAGATGAAAGCAGTTGAGCACTGAATGTAGCAGTGGTAGAGGGCATTAGAAATAATTTTGACTACAGCACAAATACTGAGAACAACTCATTTTTATCTTATGCGTTGTCATGGGATGAAATGTGCCATTTTCTGTCCTTCAAACATTGTTTTGTGTATCACCAAACTGAATATTTTGACCTTTTTGACTCTTGCTTACAAGCTTTTGTGAAGTGTTCTCCATTTGCCTGTCTCTGGTCATAGGTTTTGTACAAAAGTTATGTATGCCTACTATTTTTCCATTGCTTGGCTATTGTTTAATTCAAAGCAATCACGTTACTTGTAGCCAACTGCGCATTTGTATTAAACAGTTTGAAACATTTTTGGCGATAGTGTAGTTTAGATGCGTGCTTAAATGGTCTATACACGATGTATTAGTATTTAACGTGTTATTTAGAAGGCAGCAGTCACTGAATACTGAAATGGGTTTCGTTTGCAAACGCAAATATTTATGGTGCTGGCTTTGTATTATTTTGCATATGGTTCATTAGGATAATACGCCCAACTACGTACCCTAGTGAGCCGGAATAATCTGTGGAAGTGTTCCGTGACCCGTGTGTAGTACTCTCAATCGGTAGGTTATCTATGATCCGTATGATAATAGAGGGACTGAGTACATATGGCTTCAAGGTTTTGGCTACTCTAGGGCAGAATTGTAAGCTTAATGTGGAAGTTAATGGTCAAGTAATTTCTAAACTGCTCGTTTAAGATGCTAGTACTTGAAAGAAATATCTGCAAATTTAAGCGTGCCATTACGGCAAACAGAAGCTGTCGCATCTGCAGCTCAGCAAATGGTTAGTTTTTAAGGTTAAGGACATGTGCGTCTTAGTGAAAACGTATCACATGGAGTAATGCTCATTCTGAATACCATTTCAGATAATTTTTAGTTTTCAGTGCTGTATTGTATAATCGCAAAGACACTCAAAGTGGTCTGTATATCTACCAGCACCACGTAGTTAAACACTACAAACTCGTAAGATTTTATGTTACTGTAAATCAGTCTGTCATATCTATGTTAAAGCACGTGAACATGGAAAACATTACAAAATATTGTAGTTAACAGAAATTGTCACACAAATATACTTCAGAAAAAGTAAAAGATGTTTATTGTGTTGTAAATTGTATTTAATCTTTACTATTGAAATAACGGTTTGCTTTGAAGATGACAATATACATACCAAGCTTTTCAACATAAACACTCATGGACTTGTGATATTTTGCTCTAAAATTAAGTAATCAGAACTGACCGCATTTTTATATGGAAATAATTCTTATTTTAAAATGTGCAGGAACTTGTCATTCAACTCTAATTGTGAGAAAATGTAGGAGGACATTCCCCTTTGTTCTTTTATTGAATAGATAAATTAATAATGAACAGACATGCCAGAGAGAATTCACTTTATGAAAAAACCAAATAAGGGCATGTGAATAAAACCTGTTGATTCTTGTTGTATATGTCAACTTAACATTAAGACCCTTAGAATAGCATAGCACATTACACATTCCGGTAAACTGAGAAACAATTTCAGAATTTGCAAGTGACTAGGCTTCTGGAATCAAATGTTTATTTTTTTATTACTCTATTTGATTTAGAGAGCAGATAATTGTTTCTCTTACCAATCTGTGTTACTTGTTATGTTGATAGAAGTAAAAAGCAAAAATGTATGAAATACAGTAGAGTCAGCTGGTTAGTTCACAAGGGTGTAATGCTGTTGTGCCATACTGGGCAGTTAACTGGCATCAGTGATTCACCCATCCTCTTGAGAGTTAATTTTACTTATATGACAACTCCTAATGTATTGATTAATGTATTTCAAGTACTCTTATTTGTCATGATTGAATTGCATCTGATTTTCAGCCAAGAAAAATTAATCACATTAAACAAAGCTTAGAGCTAAAATAATTTAAATTCTGATTATGTCATTCCTTATGCCAGATGTTACAATTATGTGTACTGGTCTCACTTTCCAGAGCATTTATTTCAAGAAGGGAGCGCACTGTACAAATGAGAGGGTGGTGGTAAAGTAGGAAAGACTATAAAAAGTGCTTTTTATCACACTTCACTGCCCATATTAATGTTATAATCTTTTGTTCACAGATGAAATATTGGTGGAGAAATTAGGCTCTGTTACAACAATCGGTATAAACCGACCCCAGAAAAGGAACTGCATAAACAAAGCATCAGCAAGTAAACTGTCAAGAGCAATTTTAGAATTTGAAGAAGATGAGTCAGCTCTTGTTGGAGTACTACATGGTATTGGAGGAAATTTTTGTGCAGGTTATGACCTGGAGGAGTTGTCAGGGTTTGATCCTGATATGGGACTTGGCGATGAAGCGGGACATGGACCAATGGTTAGTTGCTGTAGCAAAAATTTGTTGTATCCTTTAATGAAGACTGGGGATATTGCTTGGCACTCATTACAGTGCAGGTTTCCAACTAACTGAATAACTAACCCTTTTTGAGAAGCTGATATTAGCTCAGCTGTTTTATATGTAAACATATAGTATGAAATGAGATGTGGGTTGTCTGGGCTTCAATGCATACTTCCGTTGGTTTGAATTTTGACTGTTCCGTCATTAAGATGTTTATATGGTTATCAAATAAACTCTTTAATTTTAAAGGAAGGAAGAATCTAAGTACTGCTTTGAAATGTGATTGTTCATAACTGCTGTTCCTTAGTAAACCAGAAGAACTCATTAGGTTGTTAATTTCATACTGCTTCTTCATGTTGTTGTCTTCTGTAGGGTCCAACGAGAAGAATGATAAAGAAGCCAATGGTGGCAGCTATTAGTGGATATGCTGTGGCTGGTGGAATGGAACTGGCATTAATGTGTGATCTGAGAGTTATGGAGGAAACAGCGATTATGGGCATCTTTTGTCGACGCTTTGGTGAGGTTATTTTCTGTTATTTATATGTATGAACTAATTTGTAGGCTGACATAATAATTTTTTAGAATTAGATAATCAAAAATATGTCTGGAATGTTCCAGGGTATGTTCTGAGTATTACACTTTTAAAATATCTAATAACTTTTTTAGTGTTGGATTAATAAGATGATTTGTAAACACACGTTGTAGTCTTCCTTTATTACAGGAAGACTTTGAAGAAAATGCAAAATTGGAAGTTAAATAGTAAATTTTAATTTAAAGAAACTAAGGCATTTTGTTTTGACGTAAAGTCATTTCAGTCTTGCCTTATTTCCAAATGTGCATGTCCATAAGGTTTAATTTCTTATGAAAGATACATAAAAAGAGCACAGTTTTTGAAATCTTATATATGATTGCTAGAGATTTGCTATTGGCTGAACAACCATTATTATGATCCTGGTAGGGGCATTGGAATTTTTCTCTTCATCGCTATGTCTAAAACAGCTCTGAACCTACCCAAACTATCCATTGGATATGCAATATACCTGCTCCATGGGGCAAGCCTCCAACCAGGGATGAAGTCAATAATGTGTGGAGTTTTGTCTCTGTGTCTCCTGAAACCTTCTTGGCACTGGGACAACTGCTAATATGAGTGCATCATTAAAGAATGAAATACTTGTATCAGGTAGTTTGTTGGAGTAAATGCAACTAATTTTTCCTAGTGCTGTGATTGTTAACATTTTTGCTTCCTGCTGTTTCAGTGATAAATGGTAACATATTCTTCAGAAGTGTAATTAACAAAATATGTTTAACATTTTAACAATTATAAACAGCCATGAAACGTTCTCAGCTTTAGCACCAGATGGAGACCAGTTTCACATTATGACAACTTTACTCTATTTGGAAACCGGTTTGGTACCCATTGGGAAAGTCGCTGTGTGGCTTAGTTTCAGGATGCGGTAATAACGAGAAAAATTTCTGTACCCCAACTGGCAATTGAGCCCTGACCATCAATAACCATTCAGTCATTATTGTGTTTTAAATTTTGTTATGAACTAGTAAAATAGCAGAGTTCAATTAATTTTAAAATTGCTTATATCTGTTAGGAGTGCCTTTATTGGATGGAGGTACAGTTCGACTGCAAGCCTTGGTGGGATTGTCTCGAGCTCTAGACTTAATACTCACTGGCCGAGCCATCAAAGCCAAAGAAGCATTTGAATGGGGCCTTGCAAATCGTCTCGTTGCTTGTGGGACAGGTAAACCGAAGCGTCACAACTTACAGTAGTCTGAAGATTGCTGTCTTCTGGGTTGTTGCGCCATGTGGCCTGGTAGATGTCCACCAACGTTTCAGAGGTCACGCTTCCTCTGTTATCGCCCTGATGACGGATGCAGCACAACTCAGACTGCATGATGCAACAACCCAGAAGACAGCAATCTTCAGACCCACTGCTGTGAAAACCTCAAATCTTACTTGCAGTAGTTTGTTTTGTGTTTAGTGATAATCCAGACAGAAAGAAGGTCTATTACTTATTATCTGAATATGTAGTTTACCATACTGGGATACTGGGAACGACCCGTTCTTTAAGTGCCTGAGCACTGCGGGTCCCCAACCTTTTAGTTGGCTCAATCTGCAGACATCCGGTAGGACTCCTTGGACGAGGGATCAGCCCGTCGCAAGGCCTCTACCTGTACACAGGACAGCACAACACAGAAAAACGCGGACAAACATCCATGGCTTGAGTGGGATTTGAACCCACGGTCCCAGCGACCAAGCGGCACAGGCCCATGCCTCAGACCGCGCGGCCACTGCGGACCACGTAGTTTACCTTTCATTGAGTATTTAGTAGTGATTCTGTTAGTGGCTCATGTGTCTGAAAGTTACTGAATTTAAGCATTTGTTTGCAACATGAATAATGAATGTAGTAATGACCATAAAAAAGAGAAAGTTGGAATATGTCAGTCATATCAAGAGAAATTGTGATAGGTACGAGCTGCTTGAGCTGATAATCCAGGGAAAAGTATTCGGAAAGAGGGGGCCTGGCAGGCCAAGAATCTCCTGGCTTCAGAACCTAAAAACTTGGTTCTCGATGTCCACTGGAGGGCCGTTTCAAGTAGCAGCCAGTAAAGCTCAAATCGCTATGCTGATCGCCGACATCCGGAACGGATAGACACTTTAAGAAGAAGATTGTGATTAATTTAATATTCTGTTTCCTTGTAGTGTAGTGGTTATTGTTAGCACATTCAGTATGGACTATTAGTCCTATTGTGTAAACTGTGTTGCAGAAAATTAGCAGGCAGCAAAAAATCATCTATGTGCAGATAAGGGAATATTCATGTTGTTTATATCTGCCATCTTTTTTAGAGCTATCAACATCCGAAACAAGGTCAGTGAAACCCATTCTTCTGTTTTTTTCCACAAAGTCAGTTAAATCATTCTGCTGTGTTGCTACATTGTATTCCTATTTTGTATCTTCACACTGTGTTTTATTCCATTGTTTTTTCAGCAAAATGACTGCATGTAAACTCTATTTTTAGGTTTGGGTCAAGCTATTAATTTGGCAACCTCTCTAGTAAAATTTCCCCAGGCATGCCTGAGGGCTGATCGTGTTTCTACATACAACAGTGCTTTCAACGCAGGCAGTCACGAAGAAGCATTGGAATTTGAGAAAAATAATGCTGCCCACGTAGTATTACAGGTAAGTAATATACCAGTCAGATGAATCTTTCTGAATATTGCATGAAATTACAGTTTTCTATGTTCATTAAGCATGGATATGAAAATTTAATTTCTTTTACATATGTGATATAATTTTGAAGAGAACAGTGGTTTGGAAACTGGTTCTGTTTCTGTCCTCGTGTAAAATGTGGTGAGTACTCACTCGCCTACTCATTTGGCGCCGTTAGAAAGGGCTAACCCTTGTCACTAGACGAATTCCAGAAATCCTCTATTACATTCTTTCAAAAAGTAACAGCAAATTAAATATTTTGGGATACTAGGGCAGAACGCTCCTTTCGGAGCTCCTCGGAGGGGTTGGTCAAGTTTTTAAAAAGCAACCAACCCCTTCGGGGGGGTTGGTTACGTTTTAAAATCTTGTGTAAGAAACTAAACTAAACCCCCCGAATGGAGGGTTAAAACACTTGACCAACCCCCTTTCGGGGGGGTTGGTTGCGTTTTAAAATCTTGAGTAAGACACTAAACTCGGCATTGTTGTGTTCCACAACAATGCCGAGTTTGTTTATAGTTGACATTGTTGATGACGTAATTTATTGACGACGACGAAATCACAAATTTTTATAATAGATATAATTTAATTAGAGATACAAATGATATGTCATTTTTCTACATAATCACACTCCTTTTCAATACGCTTCTCACACCGTTGCGCCAACTTCTTTATTCCATCAGAAAAAAATGTTTTTCGTTGTGCCTTCAACCAGGAATGCACCGCTTCTTTGACCTCGTTGTCATTCCCTAGGCACCCATCGTGCACACAATTTGTGATACTTGAGAACCTCCATGACAATAGTATGACGATACTGACATCCAATTCCCTAGCCAGAACTTCTAAAGAAGTGCGCCTGTTTCCATGAATAATGGCATCAGCGCGACCCATCTTCTCATCAGTGACGGCCGTGCTGGGACGACCGGAGCGTTGGTCCTCACGGATTGATGTTCGCCCATTTTTAAGTGCGTCTACCCACTCGTACACTCTTCTCTCGCCAATGCAGGTATCTCCATATTGTTGCAGCATTCTTCTATGAATTTCACAAGGTTTCACACCTCCGACCACAAAAATCTAATGATTGTTTGCTGCTCCTCTACGGTGCAAACAGCTAAGGGCGCTGCCATTTTGTATATGCATCCCTTCCAATTAAGCACGCCACGCCATCTATTGGGCAGTGTCAAAACTTTCTCTAAGAATGTATCTTCCCTGCATGGGAGTTTGAAATGCCTGGGGTATTCGTTTCATGAAATGTTGTCAATTTGCTGTTACTTTTTGAAATGCCCTCGTACATCTTCTTCTTCTTCTATGGCTCTCTGGTCCGTATTCAGTCCACGGCCTCCTCAATTCTCCTCTTCCATTCGGTCCTAGTTAGGTCCGTCTGTCTGAGGCTTTGATCGAGGTTTCGAAACATCTTCCTTTTTACGGTGCAAGGTTGTTACTCTGGAGGACCAGGGTGCGCATCTTAGTCTGACCTCTCCACCTCGACCAATCTGGCTAGGGAGGCCCTACCAGTAGCTCTTGGGGTCACTGAGGTACTCAAGCCCCACCACCACGACAAGGTTCAGGTACCATTATGTTTATGTACATGGTGTTCTGCAATTTTTTTCAATATTACAAGCCAGTGAAATGATTTTTCCTTTTTTATAAGATATTGAATTTTGTTAATTCTATGACTTTAGAGGAAGTGCACAATAGAAATATACCCAGTGCAGTCTGTTACCAACATGATAGATAAGCATTCTCTATGTCTTACTGGTATGATTTGACGTCTGCTTCGACAGTGTTGTATTATATTTGGCAAGACGAGTTTCTGAACAGTTCCTTGTTTTACTGTCATGGTTGCCGTGATGCTCAGATAAATACACATATTTTATTTTTTTCCAGGAATCAGTAGCAGGAGCTAAACAGTTTATGTCTGGTGTGGGAAGACACGGGAAATTTTATAATCTAACTGACAGAAAGCAAACTCAACCAATCAAAAGCAAAATATGAAAGTATTTCTTTGTAATATTGAGCTAACGTGGTTTTTGCATTGTTAGGCAGAGAGAGAGAGAGGTGTCAGAACATGGTTTAAAGCATACAAATGTGGTGCTTATTTTAGAACACTGAAACATTCATGCATGATGAATTTCAACAGCCTTAAGATACACAAAAGGAAACTTCTTGGCTACAAAGTTCATAATGGAAAGAATGAATACTGAATTTGCTGGCTGCTGTCAGCTTTGTATATGGGAATATTAAACATGGGTTCACCGTAAAAATTTCTTTTCCTTGTACACAGTAAACTAGAGGCAGTCGCTTGTTGCTCTTTGTGAGGGACGGTGGAAAAGTGCATGTGATATAATTTCATAAACTTTAAATGAATATTATATGAGGTGTGACAAATAAGTCCCTGGAATGCCCACATTCGTCACGTCGAGTACCGAGTGAGCAATAACTTGGCAGTGACATGTTACGACGTGTTTGTGTCTTGCGTGTTCGTGAAGCTAATAAGGCAATGGTAGTGGAGCTATGAGCATGGCAATTTAGTACAACAGCCAACTGAAAATTGTCATGATTCCTGTCCTCGAAAAGCAGAAGCCAACGTTGCCAAAAGCAAAATGAGATAAGACGTGAGAGTAGTTAGTGCTACCCCTCGCAATGTGATGGGGAATGTATTGTCAGAGTTGAGTAACGATGTACTGGCCCATATGCCCAAACAATCGTCCCTTGCGAGAAATCTTCTCATCACAGAACAGATGGTCATTTGCCTAATCCAACAATAAGTTTTGACATTCCTGAGAAGTACCGTCAACTGGTACTTCATGATTCAGGTGTAGATGATCCAAACAGAATTCTGGTTTTAGGTGATAAAGAACTCTTGTTTGAATTAAACAAAGATACAGTCTATGGAGATGGCACCTTTGATAAAGTTCCAAACACGTTTTACCAACTGTATACGTGGCATGCCAAGGTGGCTAACTCATCCGCTATGTATTTACGTTTTGTTACAGGAAACGAACTTGGATACTTATAATAGAATGTTTGAAACCATGAAGCTGTTGGTTCCAAATCTGGTGCCTCAAAAGGTTTTAGTCGATTTTGAGAAGGCTTGCATGAATGCAGTGATAATTGCCTTTTCACAAGCTGAGGTCAAAGGGTGCTATTTCCATCTGTGTCAGAGTCTCGTCAGGAAAATCACTCAGCAGACCAGTTTATTTCCATTCACTAATGTTTTCTTCAAAAAGTAGTGCTGAAGTGGTAAGAATGATTGATGTTTTAGAGGAGCTTGCTGTATCCTTATTCAGAGTGAACTAGGCTGCAAATTCCTTTACGTGCCCCTCCCACCACCTTCATCCACGCACTTTGGTCACAACAGTTACTGATTTTCAGGTCCAGTGTCAATTATTGGTGAGGTCTGGGATTCAGCTGGGTCAGTTTATGAGCAAAGATTCCTTTGAGTTTGAGGATATGGATCATGATAGTTGGAGGAAATAGGGCGTGATTGATGACATGTGTTTAATTGGGAGTGTGCTAGGAGATTATGGTTTTAGCAAGGTCTTATGCCCACTGCCCATGATATAATACACAAGATATTCACTGATAAACACTTTCTATCAACTGAAGGATTGTATGATCCTGGTCAGTGCTCAGTCCCATAGCCTGGACATCATTCACACTGCTAAACATACTGTGTAATATTACACTGAATGATCCGTCTCATGGGCTCATTCTGCCATGCGCTCATTAGGTTACTCTCTGGCTGATGTCTTAGAAATATCAGTTTCCATTCTGTGTCATGTAGAAGTGGTGGCCATTCCTTGCTGGAGCGTTGCCTTCAAGTTCTGTATGTGACTGGTGCTATTTTCTGGATACTTATAATTTTTGGGACATTTCATGATTTCAAATAACCCAAATACTTACATGTGTGCCTCTAATTTCATTAGGCAAAACATTCTAATAATGGAGTAATTTTATTGTAAATTGTGGCCATGATTTTTATTTAGTGTATGGAGAGTAAGAAGTTTTCAAAAGAAGTAAAACAATAAATCTTATGACATAAGGCTTAGGTTTTAATATTATTGTTAAGTAAACCACAAACTAACAAAGAGATCCTTCAAGTCCTCTGTGAATTTGTTACCAAAGGAGAAGAGAAGAACTTATTAATTAAATACAATAAAATCTTCTCAGGCTATCAGCCACATCAAGTGGTTAAAATACGAAAAGACCAATGTTTTCTCTGTCCTCGTCCTCAGGATACACTTGATGCTGCTGATAGCCCGAGAAGATTTTATTGTACTTGGTGGCCGTGAAAACCCAAGATCATACGTTATTAATTAATTATTCTCATATCTAAAACAGCAATGTTGTGTAGTTCATGACAGAGTCATTTCAGGTGAATGACTCCTACCTCGTAGCTATCCTTTCATAGAAGGAGAGCAAGTTGTTCCTTTTTGAACACTACCACACAGCTGAAGGAGCTGTGCAGGCAAAGCTGTTCTGCAACTGAGGAGCTGTGTAAAAGCAGCACACATATCACCCCCTGAAGTCACATATGAAATGAATGACTCCAGCTTACAACAAAGTTGCATCACTTGCAGTCTGCTCCATACCAGCTGGACACTGCTTGCTTACTCAAGTGGTTTGTATGAAGCTGTATTTCCCCAACAATTTATTTTCTTCACTGCTCATACAATACAATACAGTATTTAATATCCTTCCACACCCATTTTAGTTATAATATTCACAGATTTTGCTTAATAATTATTTGACCTAAAATTAATATTGAGAAATGAAGATTATGAATGACTAAACAATAGAAACCAATATATATCCTCCAACAAATTTAACAGACTGTCAGATTTTGATAGTAGTGAATTAACTTCAGAGACACTTTGGAAGTTTGATGATCTGGGAACTGAACTACATACAACCAGACTAATAGTGAAAACTGCCAATGGATCCATTACTACAAAATTGTCTGTTACATAAAAATAATAGTAGTGAATTTTTAATACAATACCGCAATGTACTGGCTGATAAATGTGTGAATATTTATGATGTGGAGAATTTTCAGAACTTCCACCCATGTGATCTACCATATATCAGCATGTACACATAGGGGTTGAAAATATGTCAACCAAATTTACTGACAAGCACAATACATGAATGGTGCAAACGCAGTCCCGGCTACCAAAAAATATGCTTATAGAAATAAATTATAAAACATTCAGGAACATATTTAAATATTACCGGATGTGTTTGTGGCTGGATAATAAACCGAAAAGACTTCATCATCCATTTCTAAATGAATGAGGTCGGTATTCAGTTTTTATAAATACTAATAATGGAAATGTTAATACCGGGACGGCGCGAACGCAGTCCCGACTACCAAAAATTACGCGCCCGAGTTACCCACATTTGGGGCAATCGCAGGAGTCAACCCAACCGCAGTGCAATGGAAGGGTCTCACCCTGGGGGAACCGCCTTCAGGATCACGGTAACCCCTACGCCAGGTAAGTATGCTTAGTAGGCTGCTTGAGGGCCACTTGAAGTATCACTACTGCATTCTAGTCACAGGAACTCTATCGAAATGTTATATTTAAGATTTATTATAAGCGATAATGAAGAAAATCTTATAAAGATCCGGTTGAAACTATTTTTATCCACCGAAAGAAATATAATGTATGTTATATTAGCATATTACGATGATATAATCGTTAAGTAAACGACTTCAAGCTTAAAGACTACATTTACAAGAGAGAGACGGAGATAGAATAAAAGAGAATACAAAACACAGGGAGTACCAACATGGGTATGGATTGATTGACGAAACATTTCTGAAAAAGGAGAATTACAATAGTAGAGAGAGGTTGAAACAAACGAAATAATGTATCAATACTTTCTGCACGACTGTGCTATATCTTGCATTCACATGACTTGTAGTATTTCTTTGCAATTTTTGATGGGGCGGATGATTTTATGTACTGTGTTGGCAACGATAGAACACACCATGAAAAATCTGAATGTTGATAGAATGTAAAACAGGTGGATATCCATGTTATTCTTTGCAGTGAACAATTCATGTTATTTGTGACACATGCAGTGCATTTAACGTAATTAGGATTAAAACAAAAGATGAAAGTGAAAGTTTTAAGTAGGAACCCCGACTACTATCTGCGTGAAACCAAAAGAGATATACATAAAGGTTTGTAGGTAATGTTTGTAAGGTAAAAATAGCACAAGAGTATGATCACATGACATTAATGGCCTTTTGCGATTGAACATGCTAAATATCTAAAAGTACTAACATTGTATTATTTCAGATAGTTTCTGTGCTTGGGGAACACCGTTTGATCTCATTGTGTATCACATGTGGCCTTTGGGATTTTGATTATTCATAGTTTTATCAGTGCTTCGTCAGCTTACCTTTGGTATTTTTAGATAGTCTAATAATATTTTTATGTGGGTAAAATGTCTAATGTGTACGTAAAATAATTAGTGTTCATAATAAGTGCATTTAGTTTTAAATGGGGGAGAAGTGGCAGAAGTTTTATCAATAAAAGGATAGCTGACCCACTACACACCATGTATGGTGCACGAGGGGGGAGTGAGAAGGTATAGCTCCTACTTATTTTTTGACCTCGGCACTAGAAAGGGATAAGTGGTTAGCATCATGCCTCGTCCATTCTTTACCCCCAGGAAAGGACCCTGGTACCCATTTTAAAGAAGGCTGGGTGTGCCCCAGATCTAGTCTGGACGCAGAGACTAGAGGAAGAGTCCTTTGCCCCTGTTGGTAATTGAAGCCCGGTCATCCAGTTTGTAGTCAGTCACTGTACTTACTAAGCTATCCCACCCCCACAGAACTTTTATTCATTTCAAAAGTTGTATTAGGTCCTTTGTTCTGGTTTCTGGTTGTATAGAAAGAAACTGGTGAATTGTGTGTCACAAGGATTGTTGTGTGGCAATTAGCTAATCAGTTTCTACTTATAAAGATGGTTGGTGAATCATGAGAATGGATACAAAGTGTGTTTGAGAGAGTGATATAAAGGATGGAGGATGAAAGTAGGCTATAATGCAGCTTCACTAAAATGCTTGTAGAAATAAATCATACAAAACATTCAGTAACATATTTGGCTATTACTGGAGATTGTTTTAATTGAATTGTTCATGGAAAATGACGTGTAGTACTATATTTATAGGAGACTGTTTATGACTGTGGGTTTTGCATAGAACTATTATTTGTTTTTTATACATTATAAAGAAAGAGAAAAAACTGTATGGACCTGCTTCTGCCATCCATTGGTGGCCTTAGGATGAGTGGTTTTGGCTATATAATAACTCTGAAATGGACGAATGATTTTTCATGAAATTTGTCTAGGGACTATTTACTTTCCTGCAGTCAGCAATACCAATGTGATTGAAGCTTGAAGTTTGTGAGCTGGGATGATAATTATGTCATTACCCTTTCACATGCATATGACAGCTCTGATTATATCACCTGTGATGTCTGTGTGTGTTTAATAAGCAGAGAATAGCTGGACAGATTTGTGTGAAGTTTGGTATGGAAGTTATGCTTTGGAGACAACTTTGAAAGTATAAGAAAAGAGTTTAAATCTAGTACAATCAGTATGTGATAGGTCTGCAGTTAGTTCTTGATGGTTATTGTTGTAACATATTAGTGAATATGGTAACCTTCAGATGTTCAATCAGTTTGTAGTGCTCAGTTAGTTACGTTAAATATGACAATTTATTTTTACAGTTCCACGAAATTATGATCCGTCATTACATCCTTTTGAAGGGCTGAGGGAATACACAAGGGCATTGAATGCTGTTAAGCTAGAACGTGTGTTTGCTAAACCCTTTGTTGGGAATCTAGACGGACATCAGGATGGTGTATCATGTCTTGGAAAAAATCCACAGCATCTCTCTTTGCTAGTGAGTGGTTCGTATGATGGTGAGGTGAGTTTTATCAGCTCTGAGGATAATGGTATTAATCTTAAGAAATACGTTAAATAAAAAGAACATAATAATTTTTTTAAAATTTAAAATAGGTTCGATTATGGGATCTGCCACAACAGAAATGTGTACGCAATTTTCGGGCTCATGATGGCTATGTGCGGGGAATCACGTTTCTCCCAGATGGGCAGCAATTTGTTACTGTTGGTGATGATAAGACCATCAAGATATGGAAGACTGATTTGCCAGATTGGGGGGAAGAAGAGGAGCCAACCAATACTTACATTAGCAAGGTGAGGACGTGATAAGTTGTGATAGTTTTCTGGGTTGCTATGTATGGGGAATTAATTTTAAGCCTTAATTTGTACTGCATCTGAAATTCAACTGAAGTTCACATCATCTCCAATTCTTTGCAAGTTGTACCTTACAATGTTGGTTTCACTACCAGTTTTATATTCATATTTGATTGTAAAGCATCAAGTAAATTGCTGGCAAGAAATGAAGGATGAGCGTATAACTTTCCCTCTTTCATGTCATACAGTCTGACATTTCAACATAATTTTTGGAAAAAAGTCTTTAGTGATATGTTTACAAAAATTAGCTTTCGAATGAAAACGCTTAACATTCTAACAAGTCTGCTGATGTCCTAAAGATTTGAACATTTAAAAATTGGAGGGAGGGAGGGAAGGGTCCAATTTATTAATGAGTTTCTGTAGAAGAAAGTGCAGAATGGTGATTGGTAGACTTGTGATAAATAGAAAATGTATATTGTTTTTATGTTACTGTTATTAGAAGTACAGAACACTAGAATTTAATTATTTCAAGTGTTTTATTTTAGGGTTAGAGTATTTTAGATCAGTTTGCACAGGATATAACTATTCACTTCATTTATCCAGTGATAAGTGACAATCTGATTTATTTAATCTAACTAAATCTGTTTTGAACTTGTTGTTTTATGAAACCATATTTAATAGATTTACGTTGTTTAATTTGTTCAATTTTTAGTCTGTAATAGTGGGTGTAAGCCACCACCAGAAGGAGCCTATGTTTGCAACATGTGGAGAAGTGTGCCAGGTGTGGGAGGAAGATCGCAATGAGCCAATCAGAACCTTTCAGTGGGGTGTTGATAGCTTGCATGATGTCAGTTTTAATCCAATTGAAACTCATCTTTTAGGTATGTGTTATGAAATGATAATGTGTATTAAAACAATTTGTAAATGTGTTGTGGCAAGCGTAATATACCATTGTCTTCTTGCTGACAGTTTTGTATTCCACCACCAAACACTTGGTGCACAACTAATTTGTGCTTCTATCTTCTTCTTCTTATTCTATGGCTCTCTGGTCCGTATTCGGTCCACGACCTCCTCAATTCTCCTCTTCCATTCGGTCCTAGTTAGGTCCGTCTGTCCGAGGCTTTGATCGAGGCTTTGAAACATCTTCCTTTTTACTGTGCAAGGTTGTTAGCCTTGCGACCAACCCGCAACCTGGAGGACCAGGGTACCTGTCTTAGTCTGACCTCTCCCCCTTGACCAATCTGGCCAGGGAGGCCCTACCAGTAGCTCTTGGGGTCACTGAGGTACTTGTATTTGTTTTTAGCTGAATGGAACAAATTCCGTCAGTGTTTGTCAGAACTGTGTTCTGTCTTTCTTGTATTTGTGTGTCGTGCGTGGTCAACGTATACAGTTGAGCTGAAGAGATTTTGTAACTACATATGTCAAGAGATTCTGTTTGCCGTTGCCTTCACATAAATATATCTGCTTGTCAACATTTGTTGCCATTGTTATGTTGTCAGGGGCCTGGTCTGGAAAGTCATCATTAAAAAAAAATCATTTGTTTTTGTAGCTACTTGTGCCAGTGATCGAAGTATCATCCTTTATGACACTCGAGACACAGGACCTGTCAGGAAAGTAATCATGAGGCTACGATGTAACAGATTGTGCTGGAATCCTATGGAAGCATTCATATTCACATGTGCTAATGAGGATTATAAGTAAGTGTTGTATGTTAACCTGTGGTATCAAGAAAGTATAAAGGCAAGATGTAAGATTGAAGTGGTCAGAATACTGGAACGATTTGATGTGTAATAATAACCTGCTTATGGGCACAGTAAAAGACCAAAGAGATAATCCACAGGTCTGACCCGTTGTCTTTTTAATTTAGTCATTCTCTTTTACCTATTTAAATATTGTTGTCACAGTGGGACAGAAAGGGTTAACAAATTTTTTGGATGTATAAAATATAGGCTTACTAAACTTCTACATCATGTCTTTTACCTCTTGAAAGTTCACTGATATTGTGTGCTCAGGTTTCTAATTTAAAACTTTCTGACATTTTGAAAGTTCACATTGGTATAATATGTTGTCCTTGTTTATGAGTTTCCTGATTTGCTTTTCTGCTTTCAGTTTATACACTTTTGACACAAGGAAGCTGAAGCAACCACTGAAAGTACACATGGACCATGTTTCAGCAGTGACAACTGTAGATTATTCTCCGACTGGACAGGAATTTGTGAGTGGTGGCTACGACAAGTCTGTGAGGATATTTGAACATGGAAAGGTGAATTCTCAGAGCTTAATGTTGTCGTATTACTCGACAGTTTATATGATTGATGTTATGAATGTAAAGAAACCCGTTATGGTCAAGAAGTTGGAGTGAAAGAGTTTAGAAAGACCGCATTAAAGTGATTGAAATTAGTGACAAAAATGCGTCGTTTATCAAACAATTTAGGCAAAGTTGTGAGCTGGATATAAGAACAAAATTAGCCATTCAATAAATAGTCAATTAAGGCTGTAGTTTTGAAACACATGAGAACAGGGCGTAAGGAACCTGCGTACATTGGTGTATATATACAACATTGTCTGATGTGATTTGGGTCAAATTGCGTGAGTGTAAAATGTGTATTTGTAAGTAAGTACCTGTGTTAGATATGAGCCGGGATAGCTCAGTCAGTATAGTGACTAGCTACGGGCTGGACGACCGGGGTTCGATCCCCGACGGGCAGAGGATTTTTCCTCTAGCCTCTGCATCCAGACTGGCTCTGGGGCCCCCCACCCAGCCTCCTCTAAAATGGGTACCGGGGTCCTTTCCCGGGGTAAAGCCAGTCGGGGCGTGATGTTGACGACTCACCCCCATCTAGTGCCGAGGTCAAGAAAGAGAGGAGCTATTCCTCCACTCACCCCAAGTGCCTATGGCACGTAGCGGGACAAATTTTACTTTACTTTTACCTGTGTTAAATGGAAAACTGAGTCAGAAAAGTCTAGGTTCTTCGAGATTCTGTTATAAACATTCTTTTATATACATGTGTTTTGAATAATTTTTAAATATTATTTCAGAACCATTCTCGTGACGTTTATCACACAAAACGAATGCAGAGGCTTACATGTGTTTTGTGGTCAATGGATGACAAATACATCCTTTGTGGTTCGGATGAAATGAATATTAGAATGTGGAAGGCAAGATCAGCAGAAAAACTTGGCGTGGTAAGTTGGTATGCTTATGTTATTTGTAGTCTTAAACATGGTTTGCTGTATAACATGATAGATTACTTGTTATGAAATGATAGCATCTCGCTGAACCTTGTCCTGAGCCAGCTGTCGTCAATATACATCGCTAGGTCATGTCAATTTCTCCATAATTTTCTAACATGCTATAAATTATCTCACCCAAGGTACGTCATTGTAAAATAGCGTTGATTTATGGTCATATATTTTGACATGGTAATTTTGGTGTAGTTCTTAGCTTACTCTTTTATTTTTTAACTTACTGTGACTTAGCTCAAAATTCATCACACTACACCTGCAGAATTACCATTTTGACAGGTTTTTGTACGCATATCTTTGAACTGAATTGTATTTGAATAAGAATTCTTTGCACATGTTACCAAATTGTTCTTTTTTGACACTGTTGTATAACTGGTGACAGAAATTGCAAGAACAAATAAAGAATATTGTGTCACACTGAAAATTTCTGTGTATGAGATTTAACAGAGAATTTAAATTGAAATAATGTTGAAAACTTCTTCTTGTAGCGTTATAACCCTATGTGGGTCTTAGCTTGTTCGACGAGTTTTTTCCATTCTGTCCTATCATTCACAATTCTTCTCCATCCCCTCACTCCCATCGTCCTCACATCCTCCTCCACGTCATCTATCCATCGTTTCCGTGGTCTCCCTGTCATCCTTCTTCCCATCGGTCTCCATTACATCACTCTTCTAGTTGCCCTGTTTCCTTCCATTCTTGCAATGTGGCCGAGCCAGGCTAACCTTTTGATTTTGATTAGCCTCACGATATCTGCTCCCTGTATGATACAATCTAGTTCGTGATTCATCCTAATTCTCCAGGAGCTATCACTATTGTGTATTGGACCACAGATTTTCCGTAATGTTTTACGTTCAAATGTTGAAAACTACATATCCTAATAAAATTGTTATATTGTTCTGTCTCTTATTTAACACAGACAACATTTTAACCCATCTCTTCATCCTGGCCCATTGTAGGTTCACAGAATGCTTTTTTGGTGAATCCTGCAGCTAGTTAATGGCCAAAGAAATGCGGTATTTCACTGATGTGATATAATTTGTCTCTTTGGCATACCTGATTACAATTAATTTAAAATTAACATCAAATATGCTATTTGTGTGAATGAAAGATCTGTACATTAAGAAGTTTCATGTGTCCAAGAATCTGACTGCTTGCTTCTGTTTAGTATAGAGGTTAAGAATTTGTGATGCTTCATCTCTGTGTCCCCGTGCAACTCTGTGACTTGGTTCCCAGGCAGAGGACAGCTGTAGTGTTTTTGTTAGTCAGTAAATACAGCTATACTCTGTTTTTGGTATTCTGATATGCTTCTTAATTAGAAACCTTTTGTATCAAACCATACAGCATTTTGGAGTTTTACACCTCTTATATCTGAAACACATTACTTCATTTTAGCTGAGACCGCGCGAAAGGTCCGCTCTGAACTACAGTGAAGCTTTGAAGGAAAAGTTTGTTAGTCACCCTCAGATCAGACGCATCGCTCGTCATCGGCAGATTCCGAAACACATCTATCATGCGCAGAAAGAACTCCGCACCATAAAGTTAAAACAGAAGAGAAAGTAAGTACAGTTGATAAATTTATTGTCTGCGAGTTTTATTGTTGAGTATGCGATATGTTTGATCCTTACATTGAAGTCATGGGATGAAATCTGCATGAGCTGTGCAGCTGATACAGCTATTTAAGATGACTGAGCCTTGAGTTCTAATATTAAATTGCAGTTTATTTGATCACCATTTCTCTTAAAGTCATAAAAATTGTGTTATTTTTAGAGTAACTTATCAAACAAATTTCAAAATTAAAGGAATAGACTGAAATTTTGATTTTACAATCTGGGCTGCATCTTTGTATGTGATTTATTGATTATAGCAATTATACATTGCTGATGTGGATTTCTGTAGAAGAATCTATGTTTAACGTTTAACATGCGGCTTTTATATGAAAATGACCCAGTTATAAGTTATAATTTTACTGTTAAAGGAAAGACTGATAAGATATACTATATAATGAATGAAAAAATAAAGAATACCAGTGTAGACTAACATGATAAAACTATAACTTTAATCAGCAAGGTTAAGCTGGGTGATATGTGTTCACAGTTTTCTGTGTTTTATTCCTTGAATGTGTATATTGACAGGCTGCCCAGAATATGTGCCTATGATGTTCCCAGACTTTCTGTGGTATTATTGTATCATCTAATTCAGGGAATTCCTTTCTTTATTCTCTGTACAGTAGGACCCCGCTTTTCGGCGCTCCGCTTTACGGCGATTCGCTAATACGGCGCTCAACAGCTGAGTCAGAGAAGTGCATCCGGCGCCATTTTCTCGTCGCTGATTCAGTCTATTTACAGCTTTTGTGCGCTCTGCGTCTCTCTGTATTTCTGGCAATTTTTCAGTTATTACAAACTGTATATTTATGTAATATTTTTGTGTTACTACATTGTAATTACAAAGGCGTCTAAGGGTAGTAGCGATAAAAAGAGGAGCCGTAAGCCTCTTACTTTAAATGCCAAGTTAGATATAATTGAACTTCGTGAACAAGGCATGTCTATGGCCGAGATAGGACGTAAGCTAAGTCTAGCTCGCCAAACTGTTAGTGCCGTCGTGAACGCTAAGGAGAAAGTGTTAAATGAAATTAAAAGTGCCACACGAATGAGCTCTAAAGTCATAAGAAAAAGAGATAGCCTTATTGCTGACATGGAAAAACTTTTAGTTGTGTGGATTGAAGATCAAACGAGCCACAATGTGTGTACTACTGATATTCATTTTACTTTCATATCGTTTTCTTAGGCCTAGCGCTATTGTGCACTTACTATATGATAGTGTAAACATCTAATTAGGCTTTGATATGCATTTGCAAGTGAAAAAAGGCAAAGATCCGCTTTACGGTGGGGGTCTGGTCCCTAACCTGCCATACAAGCGGTGCCCTACTGTACTATTATTGGAACAAGCAGAAAATGTGAAAATTCCTAGAAATCAGCTTCAGGAGATAGCAACTCTGTAGTATGCATGTTTTTTCCACCTAACATTTTGTCTGCATATCATATTACCCCCATGCTACATGCCCTGCCTATCATATCCTTGATTTGATAACCTAATAATATTTTCTGAAGCATACAAATTTCTTTGCGATGGAGTTTACTCCAGCCTTCCATCACTTGATGCCTGTTAGGTCCAAATGTTCTCCTAAGTTTTCTCAGACAAGCACGTTAATTAGCGAAGGAGAATTCGGAAGTTGTACGATGAATATAGAAAGAAGTAAAGATTAAATTAGTGAATTGGTTTTGTTATTTGTTTGCATTTACTATGGAACTGGAAAACCAGTAATGTATTTAAAAATTAAGAAATTTTGAAATTAAAGGAATGTCAGCTCATCCTTCAAGATGGCTTCCAGAAATGGTCATCTTGTATTTGCAGATTGTACTGTAGTTGGGCCATTACTGTATTGGAGTGCTGTCTTTAATGTTTTATGTTCTGTAATATTTCAGATATTCTGCTTTTCACTAAGTTTTAACATTGACTTTGATAACGACCCTACACTCATTATTCCATAGTCCCATGTTATTGCAGATAAGATTCTGTCCTCATGGATTTGAACTTTAACCTAAGAAATGACTGAGACCATGTAACACTATAATACTAAATGAAGGAAAGAAACATTAAATAGGATTCTTCTTTAACAACTGCCATTTATCCAGTTGTATATGCAATGTAAACTTTGCATGATTGCAATTAATTGACCCAATGTGAAGAGGAACTACAGTGATCTCCTTTGTAATAAAATGTTGATCTTTTCTGTTCTGCAGGGAAGCTAACAGGAGAGCACATTCAAAACCAGGAACTGTACCATTTGTGTCTGAAAAGAAGCAGCATGTTGTGGAAGAGCAAGAATGACATTGATTCTATTGCTATTGCATTCTGTACATTACTTAACAGCATACTGAACTGGAATAAATTGTTTCATGGAATGTAGAATTGAATTGAATCGAGACTTCATTTACCTTTCCATGTACCGGGGATAGTCTGCCAGAGTAACAAAAGTATGATGTTTCACTTTTATAAAAAAATGCTACATTATGGAAAAATAATATTGCTTGTAAAAGGAATTAGTACAGTTTTTTTACAATGTTAAAGTGTACTGTCATATTTATCGCAATCCAAGATTATATCAGTTCTTGTTACTGGTAATGCCAGAAGCAGTTTTTTATTGATGTTATAATGTTGTGTGTATCTGTGGAAATGCAACTGCTAATGGGCCCATTGTGGATCCCCCAGATGATACATGAGTGAATATGGAGCATCAGTGGAATGATACTGAGAGAGGACAACTGAATGACTCAGAGAAAAGCTTGTCCTAGTGCCACTTTGTCTGCCACAATTCCTGCCTGTACTGTCCCAGGAGTGAACCTGGGCTTCCATAGTGAGAAGCTAGTGACTAACTACTTGAGCTATTCCACAGCCAAGGTCAGAAACTTAAAAAATAATGTAATAAATATAAAATGGGAGAATAGATATTCACTTCGTGTATGGTTACTGTGATGGTAAAGCAAGAGCAGCAGTCCAGGAATATCAACGGCGGTTTCCTGACCGTAGAGTCCCGGATAAGCGAGACTCCAGCAATGTGCACCAGTGTATCAGAGAAACTGTTAACAGTCCCTGAAGCAAAGTTTGAAAGACCACTATGATGCAATGCCGACGTGGAAGATGACATACTGAAAATGGTACAGTGCAGTCCAAGTACTAGTGTCCAAAGAGTTTCCAATCGCTTGGCCAGCAAGATCACCAGATCTTTTGCCTTTGGACTACTTTCTCTGTGGTCACATGAAATCCCTGGTGTAAGCCGTCAAATCAAATAGTAGGACAGCTGCTGAATCGAAAAATGGACTCCAGTGCTCACATCAAAAATGATCATGACTCTGTGAAGACGGCTCAACTGTGCATCGACAATCAGGGGAGCCATTTCGAGTCACGTAAGTAACGTGTGTAATTGAAGATGCAATTTAGGGTAGTCTAAACTTAATAACATCGACCATACTACACGGCGCAACAACCCAGAAGACAGAAATCTTCATACTCACCGCTGTGAAAACCTCAACTCATATGAGGGTGTATACAAATGATTTAGACTGGAGCTACGATTTCGACCCGGCACTGGCTGCCACAGGGATTGACCATCAACAGTGACCGCTACTGTGCCTCCCTATGTACATTGAAATGCAAAATCCAACAGTGTCGCAAGGGGAAGTGGTTTCGGAATGTGTTGTTGCATGACAATGCCCGCCCACACACCAGCCAACAGGCTCAAGCTGAGCTGCAGTCACTGGGGTTCACCGTGCTCCCACATCCGCCCTATTCCCCCAACCTGGTACCAAGTGACTATGCCCTCTTCCGTGAGATGAAGAATCCCCTGCGTGGTCACCGATTCCCTGATAGTGATGCCTTACATGATGCTGTCAGGGAGTGGGTACGAGACACCCCCAAACAATGGTTTCATGAGGCAATATGGAAATTGCTAGAGAGATGGCAACGGTGCATCGACCTCCACGGAGAATGTGTGGAACGGGCCGAAGTGTAACCTGGGAGCCACCACCATCACGGATCACATAATTCAGGTTAGTCTAAATCATTTGTATACGTCCCACATACATAATTTACTCTAAATCAGAATGGCATGGAAAACTTGAAAGAAGAGTCTTATAGTAATCTTGTTTACATAAAAAATATTTATTGCTTTATAGACAAATTAACTTTTACATTTTTAGCAATTAGACAGGAAACCCTGGGCAGGCATATGTTGTAATAAAGTTTATGTCTATTCAGCATGAATCTGTAAAACTTCTTCTTTCCTCAGAATTAAATACTTTGTTGGAAATATAAACAAATTCCTATTTAATAATTTGTATATAATGTGGTTATTTTTGAAATTAAGATTTACAAATGAAAGTCATTGTTAAAACAACATTAGCCTGAAGTGGCTTACAGTATATCTCAAGACTCCTTTTGTAATTGTGAAGTGTCCTCAGTAAGTGGTAGCTCCTTAAACTGTGGCTGGTTCCAAGGCTGCACCTCCCCAGATCCCAGTAACATAAACACAGTACCACAGAATATGTATATGGTTGCCAAGATCATGAAAATGTAGTACCAGCAATCAACTGGACCCTGCATTGGAATACACAGAAAAAAATTCATTTGGTTGACAGTGTTTATTTGTCTTTTATAGAACAGACTATATATTATATTACCAGGCTGTATTGTTCAAGGGTTTACAATTTTTTGTATAATGTTTGTGAATTTGATAACACTAAAAAATTTATTGCAACTGACTACCATGCACTTTCACTTGCGTAATCAGCCATGCAAGCATGGCATGACAATAATGCCTCAGAGGCTGTCTCCACCTCCAACATCGAGTCCAGCTGAGACCTGATGCGTCAGAGATAGTACTCCAGAGATTGGTTCTGGCAGGGGTCGGGAGGGGAGATTTTTGAAAAAAACTTCAAATTTATAAAAATTTTCGAAATTTCAAAAAATGCTGCAAATTGTCCAAAAAGCGCACAAAAACAAAAATGAAAACATTCAATTATTATTTTTCTTCCTCAAAATTTTAGAAAAATGTTGGTTTTGTGCGCGTTTTAGACAATTTTAAGCATTTTTTGATTTTTCGAAATTTTTGAAAAATTTGAATTTTTTGAAAATTTTTCCCGCACGATTCCCACCAGAACTGTCTGCCACACACGGTCTCTACAGGACTCGATCTGTGCCTCACCGTTCTCTGCACGACTGGGGCTATGCCTCACCTGGTCTCTGCTTGCGTCGGTCTCTACCTCACCCCGTCTCTGCCGGACTCGATCTCTTCCTCACCCACTCCAGCCTGAATCGGTCTCTACCTCACCCGTTCTGTCGGAATCGGTCTCTGCCTCACCCGTTCTTTGCATAGAGGTCATGCATATCGCATACTGCAGAGACCAAGTCAAATAGAGACTTGATGCGTAAGAGACGGTACTCCAGAGAACGGTTCTGGCAGGGGTCAGGAGGGCAATATTTTGAAAAATTCAAATTTATAAAAAATTTCGAAAATTAAAAAATGCAAATTGTCCAAAGAATGCACAAAACTAAAAAATTCAAATTTAGAATTTTTTCAAAATTTTTGAAAATTTTTAGTTTTGTGTGCTTTTTAGACAATTTGCAGCATTTTTGATTTTTCGAAGATTTTGAATAATTTGATTTTTTCAAAATCTTTCTTACACGATCCCCACCAGAACTGTTGTCTGCCACACACGGTCTCTCCAAGACTCGGTCTGTGCCTCTCCGTTCTCTGCAGGCCTCAGTATATGCCTCACAGGGTCTCTGCCTGCCTCGGTCTCTACCTCACCCGATCTATGTTGCCTTACCCGGTTTTTGCATAGAAATCCCGTCAGGGACCTGGTCGTACAGAGTCCAGTTATTCTAGAGACTGAGTGAGGCACGGACCGGGTCCCTCAGAGACAGGGTAGGCTCGGCTAGGCCAGGTAAGTTTGGGCTAGGTTAGGATAGGGTAGGCCAGGCTAGGTTACGGTGGGTTAGGTTATGTTAAATTAGGTTATGTTAGGTTAGACAGGCAGAGACTGTGTCCACCTGAGACAGGGTACGTCTGAGACCGTCTCCGGCAGACACAGTTCCTGGGAAGGAAAGGGTGGGGAACTTTCTTAAATTTTCAAAAAATTGAAAAATGATGAAAATTGTCCAAAAGTGCACAAAATTAAAGAAATTGAAAAATTTGATTTTCAAAAATACTTTAAATTTTTTTTGGTTTTGTGCGCTTCTTATACAATATCCACCAGTTTTTATTTTTTAGAAACACCACGTGAGGCAGAGATCGAGACGGGCAGACGCGGTCGGACACACACCGAGGCCGGTTGATGAAGAAACCGATGCAGTCAGCAACCGCGTGAGAAAGAGGCCGAGTCCGGCGAGGCAGGCGGTGGCATTTACCTAGGCTGGCATGAATCACTTCGCGAGAGCTGTGGAAAAAGTTGAAAATTTTGAAAATTTTCAACTTGGGTGAGGCACAGACCGAGTTCATCAGAGACACAATACATCAGATATAGTTCGAGACCGACCGGTTGTGCAACGCATGAGGTGGGTAGAATTTTGTCCCAAGTCCCGAAAAGACGCAACTCCCACGTCGTGAAAAGTCTCAAGTCCCAAGTTGTGAAAAGTCGCAAGTCACGTGTCTGCCCGTCTCCGTCTCTGCCTTACTTGGTGTCTGCCGCAACTGAGCTTTTCAGACAAGGCAAAACAAAGACCGTGTGAGGCAATGACCGCGTTCGTCAGAGACACAGTACATCAGATACAGTCCAACAACGGCCGGATCTCCAAGGCATCAGGTGGGGAGAACTTTGAAACAAATTTTGAAAAATTTAAAAATGTTCAAAAAATCAAAAAATGCTAGAAATTGTCCAAATTGCGCACAAAACAAACAATTTTTGAAAAATATCACCTTCAAATTTTTTTTGAGATTTTTCAAAAAACATTTGGTTTTATGCGCTTTGCACACAGCTTTTTGGACAATTTCCAGCATTTTTTGATTTTTCGAAAATTTTGAAAATTTCAACTTTTTCCAAAACTCTCCCCAAAGGATGCATGCCAGCCTCGGAGAATGCGTCACCCAGTCTCTGCTGGACTCCGCCTCTATCTCACCGGGTTGCTTTCTAACGCGGAGTCTACAGCAACCGGACTCTGCA